CTTTTATCACCCTTCTTCTTCTCGTGAAGATGAGTAGAAGAAAAGCATGATTCTATTATTGATACAGCATCATTGTTGTCCTTAGCCTTCGATGACCCCTTGACCACGCAACTTAGTTCGTCGATGACTTCAACGTAGTTCCACCAAGACCCTAATCTCTGTTTCTTCTTCTTCGGCTCTAGGGTAATTTCTTCGTCGTCGATGATGATTACATCAGTAGAGGAACATGGTGATCCCATGGATTTGATTGTCGGAGAAACGATGAAGCAGAGTTCGTCGTTGTTCTGAGTCGAACGTTTCTTGCTGAGTCTAATCTGCGACTCATGATGAGTAGTCTCTTGTTTCTCTATAGCCATGTTTCGTTTCGTACCAATTATTGATGAAAAGATGAAATTAATTAAGAAGAGATTTTGAGAGAAAACAAAATCGAATTTCAGAGACTTGTGAAGCTAAGCTCTTAATTTAGCTTTCGTATGTGCTCTTTAGTTTATATAAAGACGAGTTTCGGAGTGATCCATCTCGGAAAAGGAAAACGAAACTTAGGCAAACAAAAAAATGGAAATTGTTTTTTCTCATATAAGGAAAAAAAAAGGAAACTTCTTTGAGATAGATAATTACATATTTACTTTTGTATAACAATTATCGAGACGAAACTATAACCTATACAAGTTGTTGAATCTAGCATAATCCATAGTTAACACTAATAAATCAGTAACTCCTAAAAGGGATAGGTAAATCGTAATTTTGATTTAAAGTTTTTTTTTTTGTATCATAAACTATAACTTACTATTAAACCTAAATAAGGAAAACTGATTTACATTTGTTTTGAAAGATACAAATGACTTTTTAACCTGACTTTGTGTGATCTAAAACAATGTTACTTTAGATTATTCCCCTCAGGGAGGAAAATTGCTAGGAGTTAACCAATGAGTCCATTGTATACTCTTAAAACAGAATTGCAAAATATGAAGAAGACAAAATCAAAAACAGCTACCAGGTGCGAAACTTGCGAGGTTTGGATTGAGCTCTGTTAATATCTGATCTTGGTTTAGCTCTTTGAATATCTGATCTTGGTTTAGCTTCCTCCACGAATATAACTCTTCCATCCAAAAACTGTACAAACCAAAGTTAAGAGTTTTAGAAAACGGAATTTTGATTTGCGATTAACCCTTTCTTTGTTCTCAGTCGATTTAAGAATGAATGCAAGCGTGTGATGTCGAGCTAAGTACCTTTCCGTGCATCCCTTCGATAGCTTTCATAGACTCTTCCTCTGTTTCATACCGCAAGAAAGCAAAACCTCTTGGTCTGTTAGCTACTTTATCCATCACCAAGTTAACTACACATAAGAAATAAAAAACATGAAATTACATTTAGATAGAGATGTTATCTGATCATCTTACTGGGTCATTAAACAAGACACCTAGTTAGATGGATTCTGACACAAGTTTAAAAAACGGAGAGCTTATGGGTTACCAAGTACAAGCTTGCCAAACTGTTCAAAAGCATTCCGTAAGTTATCTTCAGTTGTTCGGAAAGAAAGCCCTGTCCATAAAACCATCAAACCCTTAATCCATATAATTCGAGTTCAAGTCTCGTATGGTGAAAGCAGATACAAACGAGTCATTAAAAGCATAACAAGAGCATTAAGACTGCTTTTTCTCTTTTGGCCATGTCTAAGGCTTCATTTCACCGATACTCAACTTGCACCAATCCTTGACATTGAGGATACGTGCAGCCACAAACAATAAAACTACCACACTTAACAGCAGAAAGATATTTATCTATCTCCCCAGTTCACACCCATTAAACACCAACCAAAACTCATTCCCTGCCTTGACAACAAAATCCGACAATATCGCCGGTACAGCCAATAAAACGGTGTACAAATAACCCAATAATCTCCCGATTCAGGCTCTTCCTGTAAGTAACCCTCACCGAGACGATCACTTGAAAACCACTAGTCAGGCTATCCCCCAACGCAATGAAAATGCTCTACAATCCCAAACAAACTTATCATTCCATTCTTTCCACATGCACATTACACATCTTTCACCCATTTAAAGCTGTATTAACACAACGTTTAACATCAATCTAACATTTTGAACTTCACAATCGGCGATAAACTGGTGCCACTGTTCCAAAGATTTTGGAGATATTCTAAGTTATAAGGAATTCAATAACGAATTCCTCTCAATATACACAAGTATCACTCACGAATTGGGATAAGCAGATTGAATAATTTTAGAAAGAAACATCTAAGAAAAATTGGAAGAAGGAAGAACACAGATACAGAGGAAGGGAGCTAACCACTGACATAGAGTTTCGTCTTTGGCCCAGAGAGAGAAGACGGTGTAGAT